CTGCTGAATGATGAAACTGTTTTGATACATTTGGGTGAATCTGAGCTCAGAGAATGCTCTTTAAGGTAGTATTCATTGTTGTTCTTCAGGTCTGGTCTTACAAAGCATTGACTTCTTTAGTCCACCTCCACAGTCTTGTGATTTTTAAATCAATGACTTGGTCCCACCTGTTATATACAGTGCAATATATCTTAAGACTCAACTACAATTTCTGTCCGTAAATGAATTTCCATAACACAAACACACACATTTTTCTGCCATTTCCATGCAGCAAAGCCAGCCTAGTCACTAACAGTCTCTTCCATCATCAGATAATTCAAGTTATTGTTAAGGTGGAGAAAATATAAATCAAACACTGTCACATGGGTAACCCTTTTGTTTATAGTAGTAGGATGACATAAGTGTTAACACAGGCACACACATATACACAATGATGGATAAAGGGCAAACTCCACAGGGGGGAACATTTGACTCCTCAAAATAGCAGGAGGAGCCATGTGACCTGGAAACTATTCCCAGTAATGTCCCTTTCTTAGGCTGACTGCATAGACACAAATAGTGGCCTTGAAAGAGTTGATGAGTAATTTTAGTGACACTGTAAATGGGTTTTCCACTCTGTTAGGTCACTAATATCAGCAGGATGTGCAAGGTGAGATTCAGTTTAGAAACAAAGATGGCTGCTATTGTGTAGTATATTGTATAGTAAAACAGTCCTCTGATTGGTGTTTAGCTATAAACAAGTGGGTTTAAGCCTTGGATGTGCTGTTTATTGTGTCTGCTTTTGTGTGTTTGTAGAAAGTGAACGGATCTCCTTTTATGACCAATGATGCGGGCTTTGCCTTGGCCTATGCCGTCATAATGCTGAACACTGACCAGCATAACCACAATGTCCGCAAACAGAACATCCCCATGACTGTAGAGGTGAGTAGTCTCTGTCTCGTTCTCAAAGTCACACATTGGTTTCTGCTAATTATAACACAGCTCCTCACAAAGAAATCATACTGATCATACTGGTTTGATAAGTTTAAAGTTTATTAGAATGTACAGGGGCTCTACACCTGCATTTATTTTTAGGGGCACTGGTGCCCAAAAAGAAAAAAATTTAGGGGTAGGAACTAGGAGATAAATTTTGCAATGTCAGATGTACTCAGGACCTGCCTGAATGCATGAATGTTAGGCTTTATATTTTATCCAATCTGTGCCTAGTATTAAATTGGTTTTTGGTGTGTACTGGATTCACTGGGAGCTGTGGTCCTCTGCTGCTCTGCTCCTTCTCACTGCCTGCACAGTTTCTAGTGCTGCATCCACAACACGTTGAAACATTCAGATTTTGATTCTAACTTTATTTCTCCTGAGATTTTCAGCTACACATTTATGCTTTTTTTTTAACATCACTGTCTGTCTACATCCCTGGACCTGGGCTATTGAGAATGAATCTTTCAGTGCTTTATGCACCATGAATGAAATTTCATTCACCTTAATTGTTAATTGTATTTTGGGCCACAGTGAATTAGGGCTGGACCCAATTATTCTTCTGATGATGAAGAGGAAAGAACATGGAGACAGCTTGGTGCTATAGCTGGTTTTTACGTTTCTGAAAACAGAGCAGATCTTCAGATGAGCCTATGCATTGCTCGACTAGGCAGACCAAATATTCTAAATCTAAATGGTGACTTTCTTGCCTGAAGAAATATCAAAACTTAATAAAGTAGCATAAGAACAATCCTAGGACGAAATATTCACAGATTCAAAGTTCTTGGATCAATAAATAAGCAAAGCATTGTTAAAACACAAACGCTGCCTCTTTCTAACCGTAGTAAGGCAGGCAGACAACAAGCTACAGTCTAATTTTCATCTAAAAGAACCATCTGTGGTGAAACAGTGTATGTGCAGCCTGCTGCAAGATCGGGACCGTCTACAAAGTGCAACACCCACAAGGGGTGCAATAAAGTTTCACATTTTTCCAAACTAAGTGTTGTGGTATAATGAACAGAAGACCAGTGATGCATTAGGTGATTTTGGTGACAGTAGGCTACCATAAGAGTGAATATTTTGTAGTATCTCCTTTCAGTGTTGCACTATGTAGACGGTCCCTGCGCCCTGGTCTCGTTCATTGTCATGGGTATGTCTGAATGAGGCCCTGACCCGAAGCCGTTACTGCTGATGAAGCAGTAGTTGCCTATCTCATGTCCTAAAAGGGTTGTATTGTGCAAACATGATGCTGCACGATCTCAGCCGAGAATCGAGATACAAGTGCTCATCCACTGATGTCAGGTCATTTTAGGTGTTAGGCATTTTGTTTTGATATTTACTGTATTTCAATTTCTCTGCAAAAGCCAGGATGGTGGAACAAAGCCACCACCAACATACAGTACTTGCTTTGTTAAGTAGTCAGAAAAATAGACTGAAATTTGAGAAATACTGAAACCAGAAATACGTCTGGTGTGAGAAAGTGGCTGGGCTAGAATCATCTTCATCATATCCTGTTTTCTAATGGTAGTTACACCGTAATATCACAGTGAATTTTTCACTCCAGTTTTCTACAGTTCTGTCAGCAGGATTTTTTGTTGTCACAGCAGCATCAGAATGAAAACATTAAAGATCAGGAAAGCAGCACTGTTTTTATATATCTATTTTTTCTCTCACTGAGACATGTCACCATTTGTGTCTGATGGTATGACATTCCTCTGTGAGCACTAGAATTTGCACTGGTGCGACTTGGCAGCTCAGAAAGCCCACAGCCAACAGCTGTAGCCAGTGGTGGTCTGTCTGAGAGGTGAACTCATCCTAAACAGGCGGTGAGGGGGCAGGGGAGGAGAGGGCCCTCTTTCTGTGTCTCTTCATCTGCCTTCCTCGCCGGTGTTTTTTCTGTCTTTGACTGACAGCAGCTGAAGACTACACAGAGTCTCTGGGGCAGCTTGTGAAGAGATTGTGGGTGGGCCACTCTCACGGACAAACAATAGTCGGCACTTGGTTTCTCTTTCTCGCCATCTCCCTCCCTTTTATGAATACCATTCATAGTGGAATGGAATTGATCTTTCTTCATTTAAGTCATCATACAGCCGGTGCTATGTTGTTTAATTTATTGCTGCTACACATTCCCAAAAGGCCAGTTGCGGTTTGGTTAAAAAAAAAAAAATTAAAAAAATGAAAGGCTTGTTGACCTCCAGACTCTGAGGCTTCAACACAATAGTTTAGAGAGGACCAATAAAAGTGGCGCCTAGCACTTCAGTTACACAGGAGATTGCAATCTGTAATATTCACCACAGCATGTGTTGGCAGTGGGGTTATTTTTGAAATGAGAGAAGTATTTCCAACATGACTATGTGTAAATCAGATCGTATTCCCAAGGATCTGACAATGAGATGAGGTTTTGAGTGAAAACACAACATGCTGCTCAACTTGGCAGCTGGTGTGTGAGCTGTTGTTACCACTGTCAGCTCTAAGAATTGATTTCTGAGAGCGAGTGACTATATATGTGAATATGTGGCACAGTGCGTGTCCCTGATAAGTAGGGGCCTGATCCTCAGTAGTCTTCTGCTCCTGGTGTCTGTCTCTAGTCTGGTGCTAGTTTCTCTGTGTTCTTGCAGAGAAACGTCTAACTCCCAGAACCACCAGCAGGGCAAACCCTGCCAATCAAGCCGTGAAACTGAACCTTGAGGCTGTCAGTCATCGCCAGGTGGTTATGTTTATTTACAGGAGGCCCCTGGCTCTAATCCTTATTTTCCTAACGCTGCAACTAAAGTGTATCAAGTGACACATAACGTGTATGCTTCCACCCTAGGCCCTTACAATTGTTGACTGGATGCTCAGTTAACGAAGTGCTGAAAAACAGAGGCTTGGGTGTCTAAGCTAATCTCCTGTGCTGAGATGCATTGACTGATGTGTTGATGGTGGAGATGGAAAATGACCGTGTGTGTGTGTGTATATACATATACATATATATATATATGTATATGTATATGTATGTGTATGTGTGTGTATGTATGTGTATGTGTGTGTGTCTATGTATATAGACATACACACATACATATATAAATATATAGGGTGTTTGAATAAAGTTTCTGCTACGACACAAAGGTTAATTATTCACTAACTACTGAATTCTTTAAACAGCAATTCAAGAAAAATCTGAAGGGAGTAAATGGAAACCAAGACTTTGACCAGGCCATGTTGGAGGATATCTACAATGCTATCAAGTAAGATCACTCGACCACCCACAAAAACAAATGCATCATCATGCTTCCTTATTCTCTAAACCCAGTGTTAGTTACCTCCAGGTGGTAATTTCATAAAGGTCCTTGCACCCTATAAATTCTTTAGAACAGGCATATAATGATCAAAGCTCTTTACTGGAAAAGAAAACTACTGGTGGGTTCAGACTACATGATGTAGTAGCCCCACCTGACACACTGTTGTTAATGAAGTCTGAGGACCGAAACTTTAGTTAATTTGAGTTGAAGTGTGTGGGGCGCATTGCTTGCATGTTCCAGTAATGTTAGTTCTAAAATGTTGTATCTGACTGTGGGGTGTTACACACTAAACAGTGGCTTTAGTATGTGGGAAATTGTTCAGTTTTCCTTTTTAAAGACTTAGCACCATCACACTTGATGCACATGCTGTCACTACAGTTAGCTCAAGTAGCTAGGAAGTGAATCACCATGTAATTGGCAGGTTGTGATTTTTAGAAAAACATAATGGTGCATTTTTTAATTGGTTAATACATCCATCACTTTAAGTGATTAATTATGATTTAATATTTTTCTAGGAATTGGTATATATACCTAGGAAGTACTGATTTGAAGTTTGTAAGCCTTTTTCTTTTCAGCTGACACTAGTGAGCTGCTGTTTTTCCTTTGTAGGAGTGAGGAGATTGTGATGCCAGATGAACAAACAGGTTTAGTGAAGGAGAACTACGTATGGAGTGTTTTGCTGCATCGTGGTGCCACACCTGAGGGTGTTTTCCTCCACCTGCCACCTGGCAGCTATGACCATGACTTGTTCACCATGACCTGGGGTCCCACAATTGCTGCCCTCTGCTATGTTTTTGACAAGAGCCTGGATGAGAACATCATCCAGAAGGCCATCACTGGCTTCAGGTACACAAGTTTTAAATAGTTAGCAGCTAACATGGTGGAACACAGAGATATTTTGAACAAGGTTTTAATGCCACATGCCATGAAACAGCCTTGATTTGTCCTCTATAACTTGTCAGTTTAACCTTTTTGTTCTGGAACAAAATGTCCGAAGCCACTGGAGTTGTTTGTAGTTGTAGTGGGTTTTGTTAGTCTCCGGCCACTGTGGCTTACCTTTCCAGCCCACAGTTTTGCTCACTGGGCTGTTTTTCCAGACTAAAGGTTCATTTTGCTTTGAACAAGTATAATTTCAAAATGGCTGCACACTATTTAACTGACAATGCTCTGTCTCACTCAGTCGAACTTTCCCTGAGCCTGATTACATGAACATACTGTAGCACTCCCTAGTCTCCACTTAGCTGCTGTGAAACTCTATCTCCACAATGGCTGGTTTGACTATTTCAGGAGTTTGTAAAGGTGCCAAGTTGTGCATTTAAACCACTCTCCCTAGTTCTCATACCAAACGGTTTTTCTGAGATTACGTTGAGGTGAAATAGAATGAAATTTGCTAAATGTGTATCTACTTATCTTCAGCAGCAGAACATGTTGCTATCACTGCCCTCTGTAAGAATGCAGTATACATATGTTTGTATTTGTTTGTGAGGTTATAAGGTGTTTAGTATGTGTTTCTGTCTTTGCAGGAAATGTGCAATGATCGCAGCTCACTATGGCTTCAGTGATGTTTTTGACAATTTGATCATCTCCCTCTGCAAGTTCACCACTCTGAGCAGTGAGGTATGGCATTTTCAGAAAAAGCTAAGTCTGTGGCGTCCTGGTGTGCTATTTGGTCCGGCTTGTTTTACCAATATACAGTGTAGAGATCAAACTAATTGATCTAAAACTTAATTAAATGATGTTAAATGTCGTTTTTCCACACCTGAATGTTATTCACATCAACTATAAGACAGAATCCTATCTTTAACTACAAAAAGACACCTTCAATTATAACTCGTTTATTGAACTCATATTTTTGGTAATGGTGATATCCTCCTTGGATATACTGGATATGTTGTCTTTGTTTTATTTGATTTATTGGCGAATTTATTTCAATAAATGGATAAGAAAATAACAAGCTCTTATTTACATAATTTTTTTTTTTAGCTTTGTCAAAAAACAAATGTACCATCATACATCCTCCTCCTCAAATCCAATCTGTAGGTGAGCAGAGCAGTTATCACCACACAATACTCTGAAACTTACAACATGGCAACAACAATACATCGATCCACATCTACATACATGTACACCAGTATACATTTTAAACAAAAAAAAAAATCAGTGCAAAAAACAGACTGTTCTGTTGCTTGAGAATTTTTCACTGTGGATGCTAATCAGTGTATTATAAGTAGAGATTTAGATTGTAATGAATATTTTCTTACAATTAAAAGTGCTGGATCAATGTCCAGGGCATCTGGAGATCCTGAAAAGTCTTAAAAAGAGCTGAATTTAGTTCCCCGGCTTTAGGTGGTATTCACTTGGTGGTGTGGGCTGCAATGTTAGTTACTGTATCTCCAGGTCATAATGTGACATATATGTAGCTCCTGAGTTGAAAAGAAATTTAAGACACACACACCACTAGGCCTTGTTTTATTGTCATGTCAGTTGCTGATGAAAGTCGCAGGACCAAAACACTGTCTATAAAGTTCAAGTCCTGGGCAGTGTGCCGGAGACTTAGGGTTTGTTTTTTTTCAACTGATGTTAGTTTTTTGGTTGTTGTTTTGGTAGACTTTCAGTCAGCACCATCAAATTTGCAGCTCTGTCACTACTACTAGCTACAGTAGCTAGGAAGTGCATCGTCTTATAATGAGTCAATGTTGACTTTTAGAAAAAACTGGTTAATCCATCCATCCATTCTCTCCTAATTTATAAAAATGTGACCATGAAAAAGTTATTAAATTGTATTCTGTTTGATATTTAAAAGTCTTAAATATACTTAGTCTTCAAAAATTATTCAGACCCATTTCTTTTTTGCACACTTTACTGTGTTGTAGACCTAAATGGATAAAAATACAGTTTTAGCCAGTCTACACACAATAACCCATAATGACAAAGTGAAAACATGTTTTTAAAGTTTTTTTTGTAAATGGTATATAATAAAAAGCTGAAAGTGTAATTTTATAAGACTATTTAGACCCTCAGTTCAACACTTACACCTTAAAGTTTCTGTGGAGATCTGTACAAGCTTTGCACAGCTAGATTTGGGAAGTTGATCCCATTCTTCCTGGCAGATCCTTTCTGCTTCTGTGATGGTCGACCTTCTGGCAGGTTCTTCCATCACTGCAGAGAGGTTTCTGAAGCTTTGTCAGTGGCTGGGGGGCTCTTGGTCATCTCCCTGATTAGGGCTCTTCTTACCCAGTTAATACATTTGTTAATACACTTGCAAAAATTCTAAAAACATGCTTTCATGTAGTCATTTGGGTTGCTGAGTGTAGGTTGATGGCTGAAAATAGCCATTTTATCAGTTTAAAATGAAATCTATCATAAAGTGATGGGGTTTGAATGCTTTCTAAAGTCAGTTCATGAAACCTGCAGAAACCCTAGTATACCTTTATAGCTTTTGCTTGTGCTAAGTCGACACAGGTAAGGTGATATGAGAGTATAAAAAGAACAATAAAAAGATAGCATTTTTATTTCAGAGTTTGAAGCACACATTGTATTGTCAACTTTTTTTGTGGCTTTTTGTTAATATCTCATTAACAAGGACATGTACTTTTAGCTGAGTGCTGGTGTGTCCTCTCCCTCTGCAGTCTGTGGAAAACCTTCCTACAGTGTTTGGCAGCAATAGTAAGGCACAGACAGCAGCCAAGACAGTGTTTGACCTTGCTCATCGGCACGGCAACATCCTGAGGGAGGGCTGGAAGAACATCATGGAATCCATGCTGCAGCTGTTCAGAGCTGAACTCCTGCCCAAATCCATGGTCGAGGTCAGGACTCCATTTCTAAAGTCCAAACACTCTTTTCCATTCTGTCACTGATTGGTGACTGCTTTGTGATAATACTGCACATACCATATCATAGGGTTGCAGTTTCTCTTTGAAAAAAGCAGGCCGCATTCTACATGTTCCACTGCCACCTACTGTTCAGTGCTCAAACACTCTGCTTGTTGCCTCAGGTGGAGGATTTTGTGGAGCCGAATGGGAAAATTTCTCTTCAAAGAGAGGAAATGCCTTCAAATCGGTATGTATAAAGCTCATTCACCATTACTATAGCTGCATTAGCAGATAATAGGAAATGTTGTCAAGTTTTCTCAGCCAGTTGTTCCAGATCCAGCTACAGTCCTGTGTTTGCATCAGCACTCCAACCACGTTCCTACCTGATTTTTTTTATGAAGTACTCTTTAATTCCTAGAAAGACAGAGGAGTTTTCTATAATAGGAAGAAATGTATTTCATAAATCAATCCTGACCAAGAAGGCCAAAAGCAGAAATTAAATTCTTCTCCTCTGTTGCATATCAGTGGTGAGTCAGCAGTGCTGAGTTTTGTCAACTGGCTGACATTGAGTGGAGCTGAGCAGTCAGGACTCAGAGGCCCATCAACAGAAAACCAGGAGGCCAAGCAGGCTGCTATTCTCTGCATAAAGGTACTGAACACTAAGCATGACGCCTCAACAGTATATGAAGTTATTTTTTTATTATGCATAATAAAACATTTTTTTGTTACATCAGGGTACACATTGTAAGTAAGGTCTCCTTACTGTGTAAAGTGCGATGAGGTGATTTGGCGCAGTACAAATAAAATCTAATTGGATTGAGTTGAATTGTTACGATGTTTTTAAATGTATAGTTTTCAAATGAAAAAGTATTAAAATGCCATACATACCTTGAGATCTTTCACTGTGTTATACCACAGGTTTCTTGCGGCGTGATCACAGAATAGTGTGTAGGGTACAGCCAGGTTCCTGTCTGCATTAGGAAATACAATTAGAACTCATTTTCTTTAATTATAACCCATTGCTTTGTATTAATTATTCTCTCAGTAAATGATTCTAGACATTTTTATTGCATACTGCTTGTAATATATTTTACATGCTACACTGGCCTGCTGTGCACTATGGCTGACTGCAATATTTTTAAATATTACCTCCGCCAAGGAGGTGATGTTTTTACCGTTTGTTTCTTTGTTAGTATGTTTACAGCATAAGTCATCCAGATCCAGGTATTTTTTAAAGGATTCTTCACCCTTGTGAGATGGAGCCAATTTCAATATTTTGGCTTCTAACTCCATACACAATGCCTATAATGCTTGGACATGAATGCATGAAAACATCCACATAAGATCAACCACACACACCAAAGTCTGATCACCATTTAAATATGTAGGGTTCATGGAAAACTTGCTATTGTGAGACAACTATAATGCCACAGACTTGCAGCTAAGATCAAATTCTAGCTGAAATTCTGCTGACTCAGTAGGTGTCAACAGATTTCATGTATCTTCAAGTTACTGAGCTAGATCCTGAAGAAAACCACCATTACTGAAATGTCATTTTTCTTAAATACCTTTAGACTATCAGTATTTGGGGTAGGTTTTCCTGGTTAAGGAATCATATTATGATGGTCAAACTCTCATGGGAAAAATGAGAATACTGCTTTCAGGAGAAAACTGGACTGCCTTGGCTAAGGTTTGCGAGTGCAGTGCGTTATCTAAAAGTCCATATCCAAATAAAAAGATCATTTTAAGAGAATCATAATTTCAAAGCTGATGTCAGCTGTAAAGATTGAACTGGCTTTACATGCTTTGTTTCGTTAACTTTGTTTTTACATTGTTCCTAATGCTCTCCAATGGTTCTAATTTCAGTGTTTTTAGCATCACATGACTTTTCTCTCTTCCTAGCAATGTGACCCAGAAAAGCTGATCACAGAGAGTAAATTCCTTCAGCTGGAGTCTCTGCAGGAGCTAATGAAGGTTATTTCTAACCAGTATTTCTCATCATCATATAGAGTATGCAGTATATTGTTCAGAATTGTCTGGCTGTATATTAACTTGATGTGTTTAACTGAATTTGTTCATGTGCCCTTTGGTTTGTTTGGATAAATGCATCAAAGAAATGGCTTTTATGTCGTGGGTCAGTCATAAAGGCAAAAACAAACTAGATAAACAAGATTCTCCTCATCAGGCTCTGATATTAGTGACCCCAGATGAAGAGACTTATGATGAAGAGGATGCTGCCTTTTGTTTGGAGATGTTGCTGCGTATTGTTCTGCAGAACCGGTAGGAAGGAGGATTTTCAGTAGAAGAATTGTACTGTACCTTCATAGCCCAGTCATTTGTGTTGTCAGTTTTAATGACACAATGAACATTTCTGTTTGTGTGAGCAGAGACCGCGTGGCCTGTGTGTGGCAGACAGTCCGTGATCACCTCTGCCACCTTTGCGTCCATGCCAATGAGAGCTGCTTCCTGGTGGAGAGGGCTGTTGTGGGACTCCTTCGACTTGCAATTCGCCTGCTACGACGAGAAGACATTAGCTCTCAGGTACATAGAGTGCACTCAGACACTTGTATCTGGACACAAACACTGCAGCAGAGTTGATGGCTGAGATGGACATTTATGTAGTTTTTAATTAACTGTTGTAGTAGATTTTATCTATATGCTTGTTACAAACAAATTTATATTTGTATATTTAATTATGCTATTGAATAATCTATTGCAATCCTCATGGCCAGCCCTCTGGAACAAGCATGTAAGTTGACTGTTCGCCTCTTCCCACTCTTCCTGCTCTGTCATAGTCGACTTGCTGTTGAGTCTGACATTGCATTTAGTCAACAACATGGAGCATGATGTTAAACAAGTCAGCCAGTGAGTGAGTCTTAGGTAAGACCAGTTCTGAATTACAGAAGATTAGAAAATGGGCAGAAAAAATTGATTCACATTAGATTTGCTATTCATATACAGTGCCTTGCGAAAGTATTCGGCCCCCTTGAACTTTGCGACCTTTTGCCACATTTCAGGCTTCAAACATAAAGATATAAAACTGTAATTTTTTGTGAAGAATCAACAACAAGTGGGACACAATCATGAAGTGGAACGAAATTTATTGGATATTTCAAACTTTTTTAACAAATAAAAAACTGAAAAATTGGGCATGCAAAATTATTCAGCCCC